GCACCAAAGACAAATTCCTTATATGTCCCATCACACTTGGCCAATAAAGAATTCTATTCTATTCTATTTTATTTTATTTTTAGCATATCGTCTTCCGGAGTGCTGAAATGCTTAAATTTACTCCTATGTGTTTAACTGGATCTTGTTGACTGTTGCACCCCCAGATAAAGGCGGGGATGGGAATTCTGGGCGTTGAAGTCCAAACACCTGAACTTCACCTGGCCGGAGTGTGAAAAACATTCACTGAAACACACGAAATGCCCCGTCCTTTCAGAGCCCCGTCCTGCCCCATCAGAAGACCACTCGCGACCGCTCCTGGTTTTCCTTGTTTATGTGAAATCATCTGCTTCGTTATGCCTCTAGTTCGCCTCCTCACGCACACAAAACGGTTGAGAAAAATCACACACACACCCATCTCACCTTTTCTGCACCTCGATCCTCTCGCAGATGATGGGGCCCCCACTACCACCACCTGCGGGCTCCCTGCCTCCCGTCAACCAAAATGGACGACGCCTTCCCTGCCTCCCCCATCCTACCTTCCTGGCCTCCGATAGGGGAATAGACAGCCCGGGCAGCTTTTGCTCCGCCTCCGTCCCTCGATTCTGACCAATCAGAATCGGAGGGCCCGAACGCTGTTTCGCCACGGGCCTCCTACCTTCTTCTCGTTCGGCAAAGAGCGTAACTTGCGCTTTTTACGCACGGTGATCCCGAGGTAGGTTGGAAAGGTGTAGCGTGAGAGGTCAGAGGCTGATCAGTCGGGGTATCATCATCATCATCTTCTTCTTCTTCTTCTTCTTCTTCTTCTTCTCCTTCTTCTTTTTCTTCTTCGCAAACTTCTGCGACATAGGCTCTTATCCCCCACTCTAGACTAAATTGTGTTTATCTACTATGTTTAGTAAACTATTTATTGCGAGCATACAGCATTAGATAATCAGCTTTTCTAGCTCTTTGCTAAGGGAATTATTGTGGCAAGTAAAGGTGAATGTGTTTCATACCTCTTAAGTAAGATTGGCTGATTATCATTCAGCTTTATGTTAGTTGTGATTTAAGCTTACTATTGGGCAATTGTAAACAATACCTATAGTCAATAATCCATGGCTTATTTTTTAAAAACTTTAGAGCAGTCTTTCTCAACCTTGGGAACTTTTAAGCCACGTAGGCTTCAATTCCCAGAATTCTCTAGCCAGCATGGGGTTGCCCAGGATTGAGAACACTAATTTAAAGAATTTATATAGCAGCCCATCCATTCTTTCACTGACTCTAGGCGCTTACAAAAGAAAAATAGTTAAAATATTGAAAGCTTGAAGAGTCCACAAGTGGTGATCCCCAGTCAGATTTAGTCTGAGCAGTTTGGACATGGTTGTTACAGTGCTTAGATTGGATTTCTCCATATGGACTGAGACTCTGAACTAGGAAAAAGGTAATGGCAATCCACTTCCAACAAAATCAAATAGATACGTCTTTGAGTTTACCAGGAGACTTTAACTAAATAAATGGCTTCATGTGACATGTGAAGTTGGCTCTTGTTATTTAAAATGGAAATTCCTGCCTCAGTCATGTGAATCATAGTGCTTGTTAACTTAGGTGGGTGAACTAGAATTTGATAAACTGCAGAAGTCTACAATGGCTTCACTTCTCATGCTGCTTTCTTCTAGTAAGTGAAAGATTGGCCTCTGGTTTATATTTGCTCACTGTATGCTGCAATGGTTCAGGTGCTTGAGAATTAGCAAACCTTTTGTATTTACAGGTATGTGTGTGCCTGTGTGAAAGGATACAGTGATAAATATACATATTTAAAATCACGTTTCAGTTTCAGAGGGAACTGTACCGAAGATGTGAATGTGCTTGGGATAAAACTGAGCTTCAATTGTGCTTGTAGCATATTTGGCCAAAATCAATCACTACAGGTAGTCCTTGACTTACATTTCATTTAGTGACTGTTCAAGGTTACTGACAAAGGTACCGACAAAAGTGACTTATGACTGTTTTTCACACTTACGACTGTGACCGCATTTCCACGGTCACACTCAAAATTCAGACACTGGCAACTGACTCTCATAACAGCTGCAATGTTCGTGTGATCACTTTTTGCAACCACCTGACAAATGGGGGAAGCCAGATTTACTTAACTGTATTAGTGATTTAACAATTGCAGTGTTTCACTTAACAATCATGGTAAAAAAAGGTTGTAAAATGGTGCAAAATTCACAACAAATGTCTCACTTAGCAACAGAAATTTGGGGACTACCTGTACAGTGTTTTTCCATTAGGAAGGAACAGGACATGTTATTGAAACAACTAGGGCTCGTGACACTGGTTCATTATCTTGATTAAAAAGCACAATATGAAAGCCTCAATTAAAACTTCATGATGGGTGTTATAGGATAATATTCAAGGGCTCTTCTATTCCCAACAAGGAATATGGAAGGCTGAGACACATAGCGTAAGAAGTGTAAAGTATGAAGTGCATAAATTAATAAATGCAAGATGCATGAAGAAAAACATATGTATTAGAGCTGAATGAAGATGTGATTTTGTGATGTTGATGAATACACACACTTGCAAGAGGTGTGAAATAATTGAATAAAATTGTTATGTCAGGCAGTGTAAGCTGATGACATCTAGAATATTAAAAACATTTAGAAGGAATTCATAGACTGGTGATAATTGCATACCATACTTCAGCAAATGGTGTTAATGAAAGAACCATGATGAGTTTGGGAGAAATTGTGCAATGTTGTGAATGAACAGTATGTAAAAAGGCTGTTTTGTTTGTGACATGGAAAATAAAGTGAGAAGATACACAGGCAAAAAATAGTTTTTAGACTGAATGAGGATGACTGCTTACTTGATGGACATCTGTTTAGAAAAAAGCCCTTCTTATTCCAGAAACAACAAAACATGTCTACATAGATACATGGCAAGAAATTAATCTAAAACGATTGTTATTTACAATGAAATATTACGATAATTAGCAACGATCTTTATTTTGGAGATGCTTTGAAAATCTGCGCCACAGCTCTCTTGAATTTTTGCTTTGAAATAAGCATAAATTGGCAGTTTTGATGTGATATGGTGAGTGCCTTGAGTTTTTTAGCAGCTCTTTTACTGTAGAAAGAAAGAACCAGAATTACCTTTTTTCTTACCTTTCTCCTTCCTAAGATCAAAATGTTATCCCTTCTTTTCACATTTAAACATGCTTGTATCTCTCATTGGCCTAATTAACTGGGTGTATTCCCTGTGGATATTGCAGGACAATTATGGTGTTGTTGTATTTATCAATGGTTGTAAATGCCTTCTAAAGATGCAGGATTGAAATTCCAGAAATCGTAATCTAACAAAGCTAAAAAGTACTAGGGCAGGGGTGTCCAACTTATGTTGTCACGGCGGCATCAACATGACCTATCAGGACTTTTCCCCCTTCGCTAAATTGGGCATGGTCAGTGTGTGACACATCCAGCCCATGGGCCGGGAGTTTGACAGCCCTAGACTAGGGAAAGCAACTAATTATTTTAGCAATACAGCATGTGCTTTGTAGAAACACTGGTTTCAAATTTGCAACCACAAAGAGGGATCATTTCAACCATTTGCACTTGAATGATATCAAATTAGACTGCTAGGTGGTATGATTGTTTAAAACAGCAAGCTATGTTCCCATGATAGCATATGTCTCCCTAACATATTTCCAGTAAAATCATGCTTCTTAATAGACTGAATGCATTGCATTTTTAACAATACTTTTAAAAAGTTTTCAGAAGAAAGGGAGGATAATTGAAGCAACTGGCTGTGTTCAAATAAAGTTAAACCCTGAAGCAGACAACCTCTTTATACATTTAAGTGAATACAGAAAAATCACTCTGCCTAAAAGGATATGGCCTATACACCTTCCTTATGGTTACTGTTACTATTATCAACCTCTATATATTTCTCCTTTCTGTAAGGACTTCTTAAAACCAAATTCAAGACAAGGTCTTGTTTTGTGGATTTCCTCAAGAAAAAAAAATCTGCAAAGTGCACAAAGGTTTGAGTTTTGAATTTTTTAAAAAGAGACGTTTACAAGGCACATTCTCCAACAGCATTGCAATACTGACAGCCAAGGTTTAGATGTTTGAGTATATGTGTTTTCAACAGCTATAATTATTTTTGAACTATATTAAGTGCGGGGAATACATACTTGTCATGCTTACATGATTTCACAATCTTGTTATTTTCCAAATCCTGAAGGAATACCAAAAAATTAAACACAATTCCCTAAAAATTCCCAACACTTAATTCAGAAACCAGAAACGGAATTTAACATTGTTATGACTGAGCATTGGTCTCCATAAGCCTTTAAGAGCTGCTTTTTTAACATTACAAACTCCTTTTCAAAAGCATCTCAATACAACTCAGCATTTTAAGAGATTTCACAACTTGAAAGTACTTATCCTTCAGTTCAAGCATAACCAGTGAAGTATGGGAAGACTCCCATTATTTAAATTATAAGACACACTGACACTTGAAGAGAGAGATACATGTTTCTTGCTCCTCTGCTCAGAACTGAGAATACACAGAACTGTAAAATTTTGCAACATAAATGTGTTAGTATTCTCTTAAACTTTTACAATACTCCGCACTGGGAATAGTATTCAAAAGGAATTCATTTTAGGATTGTGAAATTTTAACTGCACTGGTTGGAAGGGCTGGGTTTCGTGAAAGGCCAATCCAATCCAACCATTTCAGAGAATTAGAATTTGTGTTCAAAATTCAAGACCACCAAACAAAATACTATTAGCTTCTATCTATATATTTCTATAGGCTTCGCAAATAAAAATAAAAGAAAATAGCTGAATACCAAATGAGCAGAAGCATTTAAGAGCACCATTTCTCATCTCTCCCTCAAATGTCACAACACTACGTTTAGCAGCAGTACTGCAAAGTTAATTTCTCTTAGAAATTAAAGCAAATGTATCTTTCGTTAACTTATTGCTACCACATAAAAGCACAGAGACATAAACTTGTACAGAAATAAATGACTGTAATATTAAAGAAAATTACATTTCAATGCATTTCAGATTTTCGTCCCTTTTAAGATAATTTTACTCAAAACCCATACTACATTAAGTTCTTTAAAGTGATTTGGATTACACTGAAGATTGGTCTGATCTGAGAAAGTTGCTCTTCCTTGGAGTAGACAGATTTGGGAGGGATGCACGTGGCACTGTGAAGGAGGAAGAGGACACTGCCTACCCAGTCAGATGAGGCAGATCAGCCCTGGTGATCAATGGAGTCAGAGATACCATAGCTAGACTGCCTTCACATCCAGCTGATTTGGAGTGATTCTTTATGGCAGGAGGTAGGGCAGCCTAAAGGGAGCGGCCAAAAACATCAAAATGGTATCCTAGCTATGAGACCAAAACCCTACCCTTTTTTACATGTACTAATACATGCACATACAAAAAAAGGACAGGGCTTTGAGTACATGGATGTGGGCACCATCTTGACTTTTTCAGCTTCTGGTATGGATATCCATGGCAGGATATCTCCAAGCTCAATTAGACGTAAAATAAAACAATTACATTGTCAAATTCTTATTTGAAGGATTTTAAGGAGCTTCGACTTCCACAATAAAAGGCAGCATTGATTAGCTTCCCTAAAAATGCCATACAAGACCATGATAAAATATTCACATTTTTTTTCTCTCTGGCTATTTCGTTAAGTATTGTGTAATATTAAAGTCAGAAAAAATATAATTTCAGAATAAAATACTTTTTCAGCAAGTACACTAGGAACATCTTCAGGACATACATTCAAATAACTGTTTTTAATTCAAAACCATGAGATCAAAAACAGGAAACATTCAGAGAAAAAAAAGTAGAAAAGAAAGTTTAACAATAAAAAAGCTGTGAAGAACAAAATTATACTAAAATATAATAAGAACTTTTACTTTATGAAAGTAAGCCAATTTACGTTATTAGTTTGGTCAGTAATGTCATTTTGACTTCATTTTGCAAAAATATTTTAACCAGACAATTGCCACATTCGGCTGTCAAGCCAGAAATCCAAATTTAATTTTAAAAAAATGAATACGTAAATATGATTTGCTTGCTCCACCATTCAAATGGATGAAGAAATAAGGAATAAATAAAATTTAACTGCAGTTACCAAAGTATTCATCAGGATTCATAAACAAAATCTGATCTTTTATTTTGGCTTACAAATCCAAATTTATATGGGCATATTATAAAACCAATGAATAGGAGAGTAAATGGGTGGAATACTCTTATTAAGCCACAATGAATAATTTGTCCCGATAATGGCTAGAACAAAATGATAAATGCAAATAATTACACAAAAACATAAGCAATGAACAGAATAACCCCACAAAGTAGCAAGTAGTTGAAGCTAAACTTCTAGAATATGAGCCCTCAACTTTTTCTTATTAAAGGTCGAAATTTTATGTTGGTTCATTACCTTTTTTAGATAGGACATAAGAGTGCCTAAACTATATGATTTACAGAACTGAAAGGAAATATTTATTTAATTCAACTTATTTAGAAAACTATTATTGACTGGGTACCTAAACCAAACCTTTCACCAAACATAAGAGTATAATAATGTTCTACTAAAAATAATAATAAAAAAGACAGCCCCAATTAAGAGAGTTGCTCTCAGCCAACAGCTTAGTCTGCACAGCCTTATTCCTCATTCTATTATTCTCAGTCATTTGTCTCCCTACTTCTTCCATAGTAACAAATTCCAGGAATATAGTGGGATTTCCAAACTATGAAAATAGCGGAACGTTCCCCGTCCACCCCACTTCCAAACCCAGATATATGAATATAATTGGAGAATAATGTCCAGCAAATTCTCTTATTCCTTTTTTTGTATTTGCCAACATAAACAAACATAACTAAAAAAAGTAATTGCTATGAAAATCTGGAAAGATGTCTTTTAATTCTTGGAAGACAGTTGTATCCTTTATAGCTCTGGGCATATCTCTCTCTTGTTGTGTCAGTCTGTAATAGTCATGCAGGATACACTATGCAGTTTTCATGTAGTCAGTGATGTTCCTTTGTGTGCAACTGCAATTTATATGCAATAGAAAAAAGGTTTGTTGGAAACCTTAGCTTTTTAAAAAAATATGCAAAGTCCATCTTCAAAGGATGCAAATATCTCAGGATTGAAAAGATATTATAGAATTGATTTTATATACCAAGTAAGACCTATTCCAGTATACTCGTGTGAAGTAATTAACATATGGAGAATAGTTCATTTTGATCTCCTGACAAAACCGCCCATATTTTGAGTAGCCAGAGCTGTCATTTTCTTCATAATAAACCTAGAGGAAAACAAGAAAACAATAAAGAACAAAATATGTATTTAACTTCAGGGAGGAATCAAACACATTTTATATTGGAATCCTTAATTAAACTCATGTTTGTAATGCCAATGTGAAAGTAGCAATATTACTACAATATTAGGTTCCAGTGAAAGCACTTTATTCAAAAAGGAGCAATTTTTAAGTGTTATACGCGTGTAACCAGTTAATTTGTTTGCTTTTTAAGACTTTTATTCCACTGTTTTTTTTCATACACAACGCAAGGTGAGAATCCTACCAATACCCCTTCTCCATCTAATTTTCCCTATAACAACCACCCGGTGAGGTGAGCTGACCTGAGAATGATTGGTTTTGCCAAAGGAGGAACTAGAATTTATAGTTTTCTGATTTCTAGGTCACCATCTTAACCAATACTAGTAGTGTTTGATTTAAGGCTACTTACTCCGAGATCAGTTATGACAATTTTGAATGAAGAGGACTTAAAACTGAAGGATTTGTTCTTTCACTGTGTGTGTGTGTGTGTGTGTGTGTGTGTGTGTGTGTGTGTAGCATTCAGATTGTGGCATTGGGCTAAATCAAAAGAACTCAGTTTCAATGTACTGCTCAGCTATGATTACTTTCTATGACTGCTTTTCAGAATATTATAAAGGTTATACAGATGAATAGTCCCATGTAATATGTATCTCATGTAATATTTATCCATAGCAATCACCATTGAGCAAGTAGATCTTGCTTCCGAAAAAAATGTACTGGATTTGGCTCACTGGTTTGTAATACACTTTACTATGCAAATTATTAATGTATTCTGTAAACTACAAGAGCTGGTGGCTGAATTATGTCACACTACAACTTACATGACCATTGGCAATATCCAATAAGTCTTTAACTCTACATCCTCTCACTGGTCCAACTTCATTGCAAATGGAATCTTCTATGACCAGATACGTAGCTTTGTAAGATGTGAGTATTTTGTAGATATCTTCAGCTGATCTTTTGGAATAGATCTGAAAAATCTATGGATTTAAAAGATATTTAGTTGAAAATATGCATGTTGGAAGCAACAGCTGGTTATCAGTTTGGAAGAGAAGATGAGGGGACTGGGCTCTCCGCAGCTTAATCCAAAAAGATGAGGAATTATTGGATTGTCTATAGGCAGTGCTTATGGACAAGCCATAGTATCTAGAAGCTCCCCAGAATATAAAGTAAAGCTAGATGGGAGGTGGCAGAGAGATGGGAAAATGTGACATAAAGGACTATATGTGCATGTGTGTGTGTGTGTGTGTGTGTGTGTGTGTGTGTGTGTGTGTGTGTCTCTGCAGTTTCAGAATAGATTTCAATGCCTTCCTGGGAGGAATCTATCTGGACTTCTGGATAAAGAGCAGCTGCCACAAGCTGCAGAGATTGAGAAAGAATATTGTACATTATGTATGAATATTGTACATTGTACATCTATGAAATTTGAGTTCAGGTTATCTGAAAAAAGTTCCAGTTATAGTTTTACATGCAAGGCACCTGCTCTCTTAGAGGGTAAACGGAGACTCACATTTTCATTTCTCTTTTGCAGGTCATCATCATTATACAGGGGTAGATTTGTCACCATCCATCCAGTGCACAGTCTGATTGCACCCATTAACTGTGGACTTCCAGCAAAGACAGCAGCAATAGGAGCCTGCCTTCTGTAAAAAATAATAATAATGAGGCCTTGCCTCTCACACATTCTGTGAAGAATTCCATAAAAACACATGTAGAACTCAGAAATCCTGTTTGAGCCAGATTTTGTTCCTGAGTGTAAAGGTCAGTTCTTAGTAAGAATCCAGATGGTGGTTTTATAAATAGCTCACCCGTAACCAGCAAAACGACCTGCCTCCTTGCCAGTTCACAGAAAAGTCATTATTACGAAATTACAGAAGGATTGGCCCAATTGATTTAGGGAACAAAAGACTTCTAATGCTGGTAACCTAATCCCCATGATTTCAATAAACCTTAAAACAATTCTGCAGGTTTATGCCTAGAAAAAGGATTGCTTCCCCAAAGCCTGGCACTTAATGGCCCATAAGAAACTATAGTCAGTGGCACTTTGGCACAGCTTCCAGCTGATCACAACTTTACCTACACATGTTTATATAACTTCATAAAATCTGTTGTGGCCATGGCAGCGGCCTGCGAAGCTGGCAGCAGATTTGGACAGTGAAGAGGGGGGTGGGGGGGGTGGGCCAGTCCTGGAGTCTGGGAAAGGCTCTGATGATGGCTCTCTTGGAATCAGAGAGGGGGCCAGAGCGGGATGCCAGTTATCAGCTGCCTTCAGAGGCAGACACCTGTGAGGCAGACAAACAGATGGAGCCTGTTCCCAGTGTGCTCATGCGCAGAGTTGCCAGACGAAGGGAACAGCTAAAGAACAGGGGGCGACTTGGGAGTAAGGCCACAGGTGGACAATGAATGGCCCCTCCCAAAGGAAATAAAAGAGGAGACAAAGTGGAGTGGAGTTTGCAGGAGACTATTAATTCGCTTAATTGGTTCGTGACTCTCTGAGAATCATTGCCAAGTTTTGAAGATATTGGTCTGTCAGCTCTCCAAGCCAGATAAGGTCTGTGACTGTAAATCCTCCCTTTATAAAGTGGTATTGACATTTCAAGTGATATCCACCCCTGTTCTAAGCCTTCTCAATCACCATGTAATAATCAAAGTTCAAACATGTGAAAATGAGGGTGTATAAATTAAAACTCATATGGTTAAGCCACTAAGAATTTTTAATCAGATAACAGTGCTGTAACCCTCAACAAGCCTGGATAAACTCAAAAAAGAACTCGAGCCCACTATGTGATAAATGATGACTGTGAATCATAGATTACCAAAATATTCTGCAGTTAGAAAAAAGTAATAAAGATGACTTACTTAATCCAGGTCATGAGTCCTACTGTATCCGGGTCATAAAATTCTTGGAGCTCTGAGAGTTCTGCCATTATCCTAGGAAAAAACTAAAAGGAAGCACCAAGGCTATGAACTGTGGGAAGACAAATTACAAAACTTTAAATAATGCAGGAAAGTGGACTAAAAAACACCTTTCTAGCTTTACCATCAAACCACATTTTACATGCTCAAAAATCCATTTGCTACATATAGCAAAATTCAGTTTCTTCGCCATAACCCACCTAAATAGAAATGCATCTTTTGGGTTCAAGTACATCTAATTAAATCTCATAGTTTATTAATATAAGTACTCCTAGTTTTGTTAATTTATTCAATATCATTCAAAGATCTTTTAAAAACATTATCAGAATTGCATGTGAGATAAAGCTAAAACTTCCTTCAAGCCCAATTCATGTACCGTATTTTTTGGAGTATAAAACGGACCAAAGTTTTGAAGAGGCAAATTTTTAAAAAAAGTTTTTGCACTCTGCAAACCTCCTAAAAATGGCCCATTTTTCATGAAAACTGCCCCTTTTTTTTTCAAAAAAAAAAGAGCATGAATAGCCCTTAGGAGCCTTGTAGAGTGTTCCTTGGAGGGTGGGGGTGGGGGCAAAAACAAGCAAATAATGGCCCATTATTTGCTCATTTCTTCTCTCCCCAGCCCCCAGGAGCTCTCTGAAAACCTCCTACAAGCTATACACGGCCGTTTTGGTGAAGGGGGCAGGGTTTCAGGAGGCAAAAAAATGCTGTATTCAGTGTATAAGATGCACCCAGATTTTCAGCCTCTTTTTTGAAGGAAAAAGGTGCTGCTTATGCTCCGAAAAATACAGTAATTTTCTTGGCAGCATTATAGAAAGCTTTTGCCACTGTTATGTTCTAAGATAGTTCTCACTCTAGCTAAAGTGTTTCTCAACCTTGGCAACTTTAAGATTTATTTATTTAGCGTATGGCAAATACATGGACTTATATAGTAGTTCAAATGTTAATATCCAGTCCACCCAGTCATTCAAGGACAGGGTGGTCTATATTGAAAAAATCAGACCAATATTGGGCCAGTGTAAGCTCTTGATTCGGACACGTGATGGATATTTTGTTGAGGAGCACCACAGTCACACTGAGGGGTAGAGACAAGACCCTGTTGTGGCCCGCCAGCGGAGCTGGTGGCAGACTCAGACAGTGAGGAGGTTGGGGAGGAACATGGGCCAGTCCTGGAGTCTGGGGAAGGCTCTGACGAGTGCTCTGCGTTGAAAGCAGAGATGGGGCCAGGACTGTCTGACAGTTATCAGCTGCCTTCGGAGTCGGACATCAGTGGGGCAGAAGAGCAGCTGGAGCTTGTTCCCCATATGCGCATGGACAGAGCTACCAGGAGAAGGGAACAGCTTAGGAACAAGGGTCGACTCAGGAGTAAAGCCACAGGTGGATGGTGAACGGCCCTCCCATAGGGAATAAAGAGGAGCAAAAGGGAGTTTGCAGGAGACAATCAGTTCAATTTATTGGGATGAAGATCTGTTCCTGACTTCTTGCCAAGTATTGTCGGCTACAGAGTGACATTTGGAAGATATCGGCCTGGCAGCTCTCCAAGCCTGATAAAGGTCTGTAGTTGTGAAATCTCTTGAAAGATTGTTGGCCAGGACTTTGCTGGATACTAAATAAAAGAGGTTTTATCAGGATGAGAAGTCGGCTTTGTGCTTTTGGGAAGCCTAGGTCAGAACAGACCCCACTTAAACAATGAGTCCTGGCAAACACCATGTTGGGTATGGATCCTGTTCAGAGTTGACCAAAGCTGGCAAGGAAGGTCAAAACCTGACAACTTTAAGATGTGTGCGCTTCAATTTCCAGAATTCCCCAGCCCGCATGTTCCAAGGTTGGGAAACACTGCTGCAGCCTATCACCCCATCCAAATGTTAACCAAGTCCAATCTTGCATCACTTGTGAACCCAAAGTCAGTCAAGTACAATCATTGTTAAGACAAAAACAATCTAGTTTTATGTTCCATTTTAGTGCTACTGTTTTAGGTGCAGACATTTGGTTAAATTTCTGTGTGCATGATTGCTATACGTAATGTGGTGAACTGTATCAAAACTCAAGTATTAGCTCTTATCATTAAATCTTCCAATATTCTGCATAGTTAGGAGGGGGGAAGGCAATATTTATATTGTATATAATATTCTATTCTTACCTCTTTCCACAAACTAAACCCTATAATACCTGGAACAGCCATACTCAGAATGAGACCCTAGAAAAGTAAATAGACAGATAAAAATTGTTATATTTCGGAGTTTCTTTTTAGTCACCACCCATGCAGATTCTTTCAAATCACTACTATACATGTCTCGGGGTACAGTTCTACTTAGTAATACATTCATTGATCTTTCTTTTTTCTTAATAGGCATATGTAAGATTATGTTCTAACATTAACGAAAGATGGCATATAGTGTTCCCTTGGAGCAGAGTAGCAGTCCCTAAGTATAAATGGGTCAGCTTTATGAGGAAATCCTCATTTCAGGCTGCCAATACACCACTGTTAAATGGCAAAAGAGTTGTACCTCTAATGTATGTTCAGCTAGGGAAGAGATGTAAAATACATATTATCCAGAAAATACAGAATTGGCAGATGGTAGCTCTACCAGACTTGAGTAGATGATACCTATGCTCAAAAATGGCCATAGATTGTACAAAAGGAGCACATTTTCAGTTATGTATGTAGCATGTAAGCACATGTAAGTCAGCAGACGCACTCATACACACAAGATACCAAAATTCCTGTATTTCTTCAGCTCCAGTGAGACAACTATCAATAAAGTTCAGACATTTACTCAACCAAGTATTCAAATTGCCATATGTTACTACAGCCTCTGCTTTGCAACAAACAGAAGGGGAAGAAGACAAGATATAATCTAGCACCCACTTAGTATCCTAAACAGGCTGACAATATAGTCTTTCCTTCTCCAGATTGGTCTTTAGTCCTTGGGAAGGCTATTTCCCCAGGCAATCAAGATCACAGAATAAATAAGAACAGTCCCAGAATACCAATACTTCTGTAGCCTCCCTTGGCCAGAGGTAGTATTCAGCCCATTCTCTCTGGTTTGAGCAAACCAGTAGCCGTGACTGTGGGAAGCTCCGCCCACTCACCCCAACATAATGTGTGAACACTGTGCATGCGCAGAAGGCGGTGCACATGTGCAGACGAGGAGCGAGTGAGAAAAGTGAGTGCATTCACATTTGCAAACCTGTATGGAAGGTAAGTGAATCCTACCTCTGGCCATAACTAAGCCATCCATCTGTCATGATCACACTGTAACTCACATTTTGCCTGACTCACGAGGCTTCTCTAAACCTACAGCTCTTCAGCCAAATAACTAATAAAATATACTGCAACAATCATGTTAAAAAAATATGCAACTTAAAAATAGTACAAATCTCTACAACCCCAAGTCCTTTCCTATCTTTATCTATAAAAGCCGATGCAGCATGTCCCATCCACAAACCATACCCTTCGAATCCTACCCATATCAATTTTCCTTAAAATAATGACCTCCTAGAAGACTAAGAACAGCCTTTGACCAAGCAACAAAGACTTCATAAAACTGCAGTCTGAACATATCTAGAAGATACCAGGCTAGAAAGACTTGGCTATTTCCTTTCTGCAGACCATGATTTTGATGAGAGACAATTTTTATATGCCTATCAGTGAATAAAGCCATTCCTTACAGTCACTATAAATAAGATGAACTCACCAGCAGAACAGGATGCACAGTTTTCAGTCGGATCCACTTGAAAAGAGTCGTCCAAAGCTCAGGAGAACAGACTCCAAATGCCGCAATCATACAAACATATGGAGTCCATACATATTTCATTCTAGAGAAACAACACAAATCCAGAAAAAAGATAAAGGATGGTACCGATGTGTCAAAAAGGGACAAATTTGACAGAACCTACTGAACTCGGACTTGAGAAATGAGAAATAGAGTTAAATTTCATCTGCACTATATTAATACTTCTCTGCCAATTCAAAGATAGCTTCATGGGCACCAATTTCATATGCACAAACAAACAAAATGGAAATCTGTGAGGCATTTGTAACCCTCTGCAAACTTTGCAAACAGACTTCTGGGTAAAAGTCAGTTACCCTGTGAAAACTTTTCTTGCATCAACTGTACCAACAGTTTCTGAGAAGTCAAGAACAATTGGGGTCACATTCTCCCTGTTCGTTTGATAATGTCATGTATCAGGATGATCAAGGCTTTTATGATGCCAAAAATTAGGTGTCTTCTATGTGTATCTAAGCAATTCTTTTCATTTATAACTGCCCAAAGTTGTATCATGTCAGCTCAACAGGAATGTCAGCTCTTTGTATCTATAAGATTTGCAAATCCCTGGAAGATTCACCCATGCGACACTTTTCTTTAAGGTTGGGTAATATCAGATATTATACTAAACAATAAAACAATACTATTACCTTATGAATATGAACATTTGTTATTTAGAAATGTGGTCTTGATTATGTATTTTTGCCTAAATTAGGAACAGCAGGTAATGTTTCTTACCACATCTGTTTACTTATATATAAGGGCAACAGCCTTAGTTCTGTTTTCTAAAGAGCAAATAACAACTGTCCAACTTCTATTAGTCCCAACTCATATGGCCAATGGATGTGCCAGAACAGGGGTCCCCAAACTTGGCAACTTTAAGACTTGTGGACTTCAGAATTCTCCAGCCAGCTCTGCTCTCTCTAGAATTCTGGGAGTTGAAGTCCACAAGTCTTAAATTTGCCAGGTTTGAAGGCCTCTATGCTAGAAGGTGCAACCAAAACATCTCAAGATAGCCTTATATCAGGTCATCCAAGATGTTCAAGAGTTGCTTGCAGAATTTGAAAGAAGGAAAATATAAACACATTACTGGACCTACATAACATTTATTGTAATGAAATACTTTTATATTTAATTACATACAAATAAAATTAAAGCAAATTTTGATCTGGTTTTCCTACTACTCCTTGGGCTCTTGGCAAAGATCAGAGGCAACCCTCATCCATGGTTCTAAAGTCACAGGTTGCCCACCTAAATCTGATACTGCAAGGATCAATGTCAAGGGCAAGAGTCTGTAATGCGCTAGATTAAGCTGTATTTTATTTGTAGCCAAAAGTTTACACAATGACAACTGGTTGTTTGTAATCATTTATTTTAAAGGTAATAACAACATAGAAAGTCTTCATCTTTCAGTTTGTTTTTTTCATGGTAGCCAATCAGATGCTTTTGGGAAGAACACAAACATGAGTATGTATTCCTCCTACTATTTCTAGGTAACTATGCAGAGATATTCCATAAGCAATATTAGAAGTAACATAAAGCCAATCACAGTCAGCAGTCATTTATAATCTTACCTCTACCTGATTTTTTTATAAATGCCTTTTAAAATCATCTAATTTTGGTGATGCTGGACTTTGTAGGAGCAAATGCCTTAAGTTAATTTTCTAATATATTACTAATTCTCATTTCGTTTTACACATGCAAAACACACTTTGATGAATACAGAAGTAATAATGACAAATTCACTTAAATAGAGACTCCCACTGCAGGTCTCCCTACATAACTCTCCTTCGATATAAAGATGCTTGTAATCCAAGCCTGTTATTAACCAGCCACAAGTATTCATTTAAAAATCATTACCACTCTTTTCCATGCTCAGGTAATTTTAAAAAAATCCATATGTGTAACATAAACAGTAATATCTTCCACCTTCCCAGTGAAAAGAAATTCATGCAGCCTTCTCACGGACTCACCCTTCCATCATCATAGAAAGCAACCCCAAGGAAACCGTGTGCAATATATGGTAGGCTACTTCTGGTCTTTCACCAATCCTGCCCTCATGTGTGGTTGGCTCGTTGATCCCGCCCTCATTTGTGGTTTGCTCGTTGACTTGTTTATTGCTGTGACATCGGAAGAGAAAGAAAACAGGTTATCATACCTCTTTCTCTCTCTCTCTTTCTCTCATGGACAATTCAATAACCATTAGACCCAACAATTGTACTGTTCGTTATATTTTCCCTTAAATCCAAACTCTGATGTCTTAATAATAATTCAAGAAAACTGTGTAGCAAAGGAGTTACCCAAGGAAAGAATAAAGAGAAACATGCCCAAGGATACTAAATACATACTATAATGTATTGATCAATAAACAGAGTGTGAATGGATAATGAATTCTGCTCAGTTCAATAACTTTCTACAAATTCTTGGATTTTTCTAACTATCCAGAAATGCTTTCCAACATCAAGCATTTTTTAAATAGTCACAAGCTATTTGCAACAGGCTCCAATTATAGATCTGGAAGTATTTGAGGGGGGGAAATGGAAGAAAGTCTACAACAAACGCAAAGACAGCTCATATTCTTTCTACCTAATTTTGAAGATGAAGGACAAAAGTGTTAAACACATATGCAAATATGACATGCAGGTATCGTATTTATACCATATGCAAAGGAAGTTAGAATTCAAATTTAATGCTACCACTTTATTTAGCTTGGAAGCCCCTTACGCAACATGTAATGGGTGTATTATTTACACCAAGTAACTAGTTTCTACAGAAACTACGGAACAAAAATGGAACTTGATAAACATCAACTTACCCCATTTTCCTAAAAGAAGCCTGACCCACAGAAGCAAGGCAAATAATTAGCACCAAAAGGTAGAATGGCAATAGCGAAGAATGAGTGAGCCGCAGGAAGAAGTCTTGGGATGGTGTCTGAAGTGATTCTTGACAAAGCAGCCAATTAACCGTGAAGTTCCTGTTAATGTCAATGGAAGCGAAACACATTTAATAGCCAGACATGATCCCAGCCAGTCAGAATAACCTGTTGTATTGACTAGATTGGCACGGGAAAGGCTATTCCCTAAATATGTCTTCATTTTGCAGGCATGTTTAAAAGAACAAGCAACAGGGTCACTTACAGAGCTTATTTCACCAGATTTATTTATTTGTTTATTTGTTCATTTTTATGCTGCCCATCTCCTCTATAAACACTGTTTAACAACATCACGGTGAAAACAAAGTGGCTCATTTTGACCTTTCAGTGGCAGACTGGGGATACTCTCCCAAGTAGAACAATGAGAATAAAGAAAAGTGTGTAGCTGTAAATATGCTTTAAGTTAATGTACACTTTAATTGAAATCTAATGTTTTTTTCTCAATTGTTGAATAACTTCTTTGGGTGCCTTAAAATTAAGATTTGAAGGCATGTTTAGGAAAGTCTTAGGGACTGCTCTTACGTTTTCCAGGGGCCAGATGTATGTTTGGCCTGAGTCTATTCAACCCCATTTTATCCAGAATTCTTCCACTCTCACAGCCTGTGGGCATTTCCGTCTTCTACAGAAAGACAACTTCATGCTCTCAGCTGAGGCCACCTTTCCACCTTCCCCTGTACATAAGCATGTTTCTTTCTTCCCAAATGTTCCATCTCCTTCCTCACTTGCTGTCTACCTAACATCTATTTCCAGCTTTGCTTTCCATTTAACTCCTTGATTTGTCTTTTAGCTTCTCCCTCGAGTTTACTAGTCCACAGATCTCACTTAACTAACAGCTACTCCTGAGGTCTCTCACTAAATAAGACATGTTTTGTGGAAACCCACTAGATGATGCTGAATTCTTATTTCTAGCAATCCCAGGGCTGATCAAATTGATGGGGACTCCCAACATAAAAAACATTTCACAAGAAAAAAGCAAATTAAAGGAATACATAAAATTATTCCAGATCTGCTGCTCGGTAATTTATTGTGTTCTTACTGGTATCTGAACCTCAGTTTACAAGGGACTAGTATCTCATCTTTATTCAGCAATTATTCTGGCTTCTAAGTCTTTGCCTACACAGTTCATAGCAAGGACAGAAGCATACATTTTAAAAAGAGCCCAAGATGTCCCAACTGCTAATATCTACTTATGATAATTGCTACTATGTGTGGGCAGAAAAGATGCTCAAAACTGATGCAAGGCCTCGTCTGGTGCTTCTAGCACATAATTATGAGGACTGTGCAGGGTTTTCCACTGATTCTCTCAAAGGCCTTGAAGTGTTAATGGAATACCTATCTGCATCATTAAAAGCAGCAATAGCACTTAAGACTTATATACCGCTTCACGGTGCTTTTTACAGCCCTCTCTAAGCGGTTTACAGAGTCAGCATATTGCCCATAACAGTTTGGGTCCTCATTTTACCCACCTCGGAAGGATGGAAGGCTGTGTCAACCTTGAACCTGGTGAGATTTGAACTGCCAAACTGCTGGCAGCCAGCAAGTCAGCAGAAGTAGCCTGCAGTACTGCATTCTCACCACCGCACCTCTAAGTAACTGTCAGCTAAAAGTAGCTGTCTCTTTTCACACAGCAGCAGAAGCATTCACAGGAAACAGCAGCCTTTGAGAGGACTACAATTGTACTGTTATGTACCACTAATCCCTTTTGGAAACCGAATATAAAATGCTGTCTAATAAGTATGTGCTATCTGAGCTGAGGTTGGATTCCCCTTTGTTAAAATTCAGAACATAACTCAAAATATACTGTTTAACAATCCACCCTACCTTTTAGAATTGTGCTTATTTATTTCTTTGCTTTATAAACTATCACCATAAAGGGGTATTAAAACTAAAAATAATTATTTTGCAATTTAGGTAGATCATTACTTCAAACTTACTTATTTGTATTTAATCCCAATTTTACTTCAAGAACTTTAATTAAATGCTCATTTTCTTTATGGGAAATAAATCTCTGAAAAAGAAAAGACATACTGCATATAGATAGCATTCTTTTCACTCCGGTAACAGAATTACATGAGATTAGTTAAGTATCATTTGATTACTTGCATTACATTTTCTAACACATTTATGTAACAAAGATTGAAGGGAAGCCTCTATCTGTCAGATACGGTTGCTCTACAGCTGTGCTCTTCACCCACCTATGGAGTCCAATAAGATCTGGAGATCCCGTTAAGAGAAAGACCACAAGAGGAAGGAGTCTTGTAAAGCTCATTACTGAAGGTCTTACTGGATAGATGAGGTCATGGGTCTAGCTGCAAAAACTGGGAATGTAAGGAACTCACTGTGAAATTTCATTAGCTATTAGCAGTTTCTCAATAAATATATGGGCAGTCCTCGGTTTACAACCACAATAGTGCCCCAAATTCTGTCGCCAAGTGAGTTGTTAAGTCAATTTTGACCCAATTTAAAACCTTTCTTGCCACAGTTTAAGTGAATTACTGCAGTTGTTAGGTTAGTGACACAGTTGTTAAGTGAAACTGACTTCCCTGTTGACTTGGCTTGTCAGAAGGCTGCAAGAGGTGATCGCATGGCCCTGAGAATCTGCAACTGTCATAAATATGAACCAGTTGCCAAGCATCCAAATTTTTATCATGTGACCATGAGGATGCTGCAACAGTCATAAGTGTGGAAAAACACCCATAAATCACTTTTTTCAGTAATGTTGTAACTTTGGTAACTAAACGAACTGTGGTAAGTTAAGGACTACCTACTATCGTGTTTTCCCCAAAATAAGACAGGGTCTTATTTTTTTTGACCCCCGAAATAAGCACTTGGCCTTATTTTCAGGGAGGTCTTATAATATTTGTGGTACAGGAGGCGGTGAACATGGTCACCTCACGGCTGCTGCTGTGTTGCAATATTTTCGGGGAAGGGCTTATTTTAGTGCATACGCTCAAAAGCCCAATTGGAGTTATTATCCGGGAGGTCTTATTTTCAGGGAAACTGGGTATTATAACTCAAAACTGGTTAATGATACTTTGTGGTAAGATTTTATATTCTTCGTTCATTATCCTTTGTTTTTACTGTACTTTGGTAATTAAAAAAAAATGGGTAGAGTTTGGGAAGCAGCCCTCCACTTCCTTGTATTCCCTCCCCTCACTCCCCCATTCCCAAATTTTCCCATCAACACTTTAATTCCAAACATGTGAAAAAGCAGCTTAAACACACTGGGAACATTTAATATCTTTTTTCCACTGTACCAGGGGTGGGTTTCAACCGGTTCGCAGCGGTCCCCGCGAACCGGTTGGTTGGCGAACCCGGAAGTAAGTAACTTCCGGGAACGGCAAAGGGCCCCCCCCCCGCGCCCGCTCTTTACCCGGTTTTGACTAGTCCTGCGCTTCCGCGCATGCGCAGTACGCATACAGCGCCTGCGCGATCCTCCAGGAGCAGCTGGAGCATCGCACAGACGCTAGTATGCATGTGTGCGCCACGCGCGTGCACGCACATGCCGCACATGTGCGCGAGGACGCCGCACACGTGCGCGAGGACGCCGCCGGCCTCGTTCCAACCGAACCGGTTGGAACGGGGCAAGAAACCCACCCCTGAGTGATAGTTAGAACATCTCAACTGAGATTTACCAAGGGAAACAGCTTCTTGTAGCCCCAAGGGACCATCAACTTATGTAAACAAGGAAAGACCAAATCATAACTCTAAATGTTTTCATCTGCTTGCTGAAAACTCTCATAAAAATAATTCCAGTTCTGCCGCTTTTTGAAAGTTCTTTTTTCCCCTAAGTGAGGAAAACTTGTATGACTTAATTTGTACATACATTATTTCAAATGCAAGTTTTGCCTTTGTCTGTAGACTCTGTAAACCACTTAGAGAGTGCTGCAAAGCACTGTGAAGCAGTATAGAAGTCTAAGTGCTAGTCCCAAAAGTGCTTTTTTCTTTGAAGATGTTTTGCTTCTCATCCATGGCTGTCCCAAAAGTGTATGAGAAGCTAAATGTCTTCAAAGAAAAAAACAAGAAAGTTCAGTTGCCTCCTGAAAAAGCACCTTTGGGACAACCATGATCTGGATGACTGAGAATCTTCATACACCTCTAACTGCTAGTGCTAGTCTAGTCCCTTGCCCTTACCTAATCTTTAGAATATTACACCTGAGTTATACCAACACAAAGGCCAAATGCATTTCTTGGCCTTAAAGAGCTATGCATACATGTCCCATTAGACTCTGAAAGGATAGTATAGATTCAACTCACCAACTATATCAAGTTTAATCCTCATCCATGAGATTGGAAATATTTAGGTTGCTTCATATACAACAATAATTTTCAAACTTTGATCTGCTTACTACTGATAACTTAAGAAAGCTCCTCTAGGTAGTTCACTGCAGCCAGAGCCTGCTTGCCACATCAAGCCCCACCTCCTCCCTACATTCATGCTACCGATAGATAGCTGACTTGCAAAAAAGATCAGTAATTAAATACTGATTCAGTGTGAAGTGTAGATGATAATACAATAGGAGCCTTCTGAAAAATGCCAACATGGAATAATCTAAAATGCAGTTAAAAGGTAAAGGTACCCCTCGCACATATGTGCTAGTCGTTCCCAACTCTAGGGGGCGGTGCTCATCTCTGTTTCAAAGCTTTGCTTTGCTTACATCACGGCCACCAAGAATGCTACCTTCCAGGTAAGTAATTGTAAAGACACTTCCCGAAGGGGCTCAAATGGTGGATCGATCAGGGCCTCCAGAACTTTAGCCAGATCTTGATTCTGAGTGTGACCCCAGCATTATCAGTGTCTTACACTTTTTTTTTTTTTTTTGCTTTCTTAACTAAGTTGGCACAGGAGGAATCACACAAGGGTAAGCTGCATTTCCTCCCCTAAGAAATGGAGTACATTCTCGATGCAAAGTAAGATGGCCTCCTAATAGCTCCTATTGTTTTCACCTGGCCTCTGAAATAAAGCAAACCCATTTCTTTTAGGCAGTAAACTTTCCTGATTCTGTCACACAAGATGATAAAAAAGAAAAGATGCATACCTCACTGCCAGATGCCTGATATAAAATGCTGGCGATCAATTCGGGATACAAAGTCATCTGTCGTACAGTGTTCATTGTTTTTAGTGACAGGGTCCTGTTGTCATGAATAAGCTGATGAATGCCTGTGAATGAAGGAGGCATGGAGATATGGTAATTTTTTCTCAATACAAATAGTTGTATCCAACAAAACGAATAATCCAGATGCCAACATTATTTATGTATTTATCTAAAAGACATATCTGGCTGTCCCAATTTGTCATCTCAGCAAGTGACTCTAGTTGGCTAATACCAATGATAATATTAAACAAACACACACACACACACACACACACAAATAAGGCAACAATCACAATAGTACTGTGGACATTCTTAAGAATACAGCATTGTGGACATTCTTAAGAACCTCTCAACATAGAACAGCCAATGGAAAATCAACAGGGTTTGGGCCATCGAAACTTGGGGGAAATGATATTTGATTGGGGAGATGTTCCAACAGATCAAATCAGCTAACATGGTTTCATACAGAGAGCTCAAAGCATTCTACCCTGTCAGATCTGTTGAAATGAGCAGAAGAGATAAGTTGGAGATAAGTTGTCCCACAAGTTTTGTCTTATGCTCCTACCATATATCTGTGTGCTATCCTATAAAGGCTACTTTGATAAATGCCCATCATCGTCACACACTATAGAAGGCTCCTAGATGCCATCTCATAAAAATCAGGAGGAATATAAAAGACATTTGATTTACTGGAGATAATCCATTCTTGCTTGTTTCTGAAAAGTAGATTATTCAACCAGATTCTTTCTAAAGCTTGTTTGAGAAGATAATTGCACCCCATGATTATGGCAATTTGACAGAAAGTTATATCCATAGGCCCACCATTCCAGGGGACAAACTTCATTATGTCTACCCTGAAATCTAGCTCTGTACTTAATGTTCAATGTCAGATCAGGCACTAGAGTTCAGACGGCAATACAATCTAAAGAAATACTCTATTGGGAGCCAATATGGTAGGGTGATTAGGATACTGGACTGGGGAGACCATGGTTCAGATCAACATCAGTCATGGGGAATTTATTGGATGACTTTGGGTCACCCAACTATTTTGTAGAGTTGTTTGGCTCTAATTGTTTTTAAATCTCAATGCTTTTAGTAAATCTTAAGTCTCCCTAATTGTCTATAAACTCTCTTCCTTTTTCTTTTCTTCTTTTAGATCACGTGAATCATCTCATGGTGATTCATATGGGCTTCTCTAAATCACCATCCAGATTTGAGGCACATCTCCCTTTAGTCTAAACCTAGCCTATAGTTAGGGAGATGTGCCTCAAATACTAAATCTAGATGATGATTCAGAGAAGTCCATATAAATCACTATGAGGTCATTCACATGAGCTCCTAAAAGAAGAAAAGAAAAGAAGTTAATCCATGGGCTAGTTTTTCATAAATAATTGGATTAATGTGATTACAAATGAGATCCTAGGGAACAAGAGATAAAATGGGTAGATAAAAGCTTTGTTAATCTCCACTGCATTGAAGCATACGTGTAAATTTAGTGTCACATAAACTTTCATTCACTCTGTCCCAGGGTTCTGTGTAGCCTGAAGATTTGCAAGCATTTAGCCCTAAAAGGTAATGCATACTGTACAGTCCTGATTTCCCTTCAGTTACCATTTTGCCAGTGTATTTGCCTTACCTTTTTTAAAAGAGGAGGCTTTTAACAGTTCTTTATAAAATGAATAGTAAATGGCACTGTCACCCTGAAATGTGATTTCTCGTTCAAGTTCCTAGGGGAAAAAAAGAGTTACAAGAAAATGTAAGCTAGGGATAACATGAGTCCCCCAATCTGTTTCTCAGAACACAAAGATTATGCTTTCAAAACTGAACAGTCTACTAATTCACAAATTTGCCCAAAATTTTCAAATGGACAATGAAAAAAGGGACCATTAGATTGGCTTAAAACATCAAATCACATTTTTTTTGAAGAATTAACTAACACTGCAGACAAAATAGTCCCTAAATGCAAATTTCACCCACTCTCATTATGTTTTTGAAAGAGGACTCTCTTAAAATGCCCACAATGGTCTTTGAGCATCAAATTTTATTTTACAAAAATTATGCTCCCCACCCACCCAGTTACTATTCTCTTTCATACAGTAGATGGGTTATATTTATAATAAATTATAGGAAAATATGACTTTGCTACTTCTATTTACGAAAGCTAGATATCTCAGGGTTACAGCTACAGTTTCATAAGGACATAGCAGCTAACTTACAATGATGTGAATGTTCATATATCAGTAGCAAATTCCCCGTTTTCAACTGGCCTATCAAGTTACTTAAACTAGAAGAAGCTCCAAAAAGCTTTAGGGAGATATTTTCTAACTTTGCTTCAGATGCTTAAAAGCGGACATTTCAGTCCCCAAACAGGATGCTTTTATAGGCTGGCCAAAACTCTCTGGAGCTATGGCCTTAGCTTCCTATGATATTAGTATCACAGGTTTAATACTAATTGAGACAGCTCTCTTTTTCTTAATGGCTCATGGGAAACTCAACAGGCCCCAAAGTATATTTTAAAGGCTGAAAATCAGGTTTTTGTACGTGTGGTGCACCCATTTATGCTTCAATAAAAGATGGCCAATAAAACAGGGCAGAAGCTATAAATTAATTGTGAACTGAGGTGGAAGGGAACATCTTCACAGAAAAATAATTAAGGATGTGATAAGAAAAACTAAGAAACCGACTTTTGCAGCTTATCATTCCACCTTGACTCTAGACTGAGGGTAGGCAATCATGGCTTATCATATACTTTGGATTAGGTCCCTCATGACTAATGGCCAGGTTAAGTATTCTTTCTCAGTTGGCCTAGACCAGTGATGGCAAACCTTTTTGTAAACGGGTGCCACAATTGTGCGTGTGCGTGCCCAACACCTACAACGTGCCCCACCATAGGCTATTTTCGAATCGAAGATCGTTTCCAAACTTCCGGTTTACCTGTTGGGCCCATTTTTTGCCCTCCCCAGGCTCCGGAGGCTTTCCTGAAGTCTGGGGAGGGTGAAACCGCATATGCACTGGAGCTGATGCCTTGCGTGCCGGCAGATATGTCTCTGCGTGCCCCCTGTGACACATGTACCATAGGTTCGCCATCATGGGCCTAGACATTAAAGGAACTGCCACATCTGTTACATAAGCCAACCTTGTGCTTGCATGAAATAACAGACTTTATTGTTTGAGATTCCTTACCGGCCTACCAGAAAACCAGAATTTGCGTTCATGGTATGTTGAAAGATATATGGCATACATCATTCCACTTATGATTGCTGTAATGCAGCCAAAGAAAAGCTTTGTAAAATGTGGGATTAAGACATCTGAAAAGAAATATAATAAACATCAAATAAAGAAAATCTATGTTTTCATATCAAGTCCAATGCCCAATGTTTGTCAAGGCCCTCTCCAACGCAATAAGCAGGTGGCAGCAGAGGGCTAATGTCCAACCAGTCCATAAGTACAGAACACCAGAATATACAACACCGAGCTCTGTAGACACAAGAATGGAGGATGTGGTAGTAGTCCTGACCTGATGTAGAGAACAAAGAGGGTGACTTGATGGAGAAAGGGAAGATCCATTACCAAAGCATCAAAAAGGAAACATTGCTTGCAAGAGTATGTTACCATAGCCAATCTATTAAATAAAAGTAGTATTTAGTCTTCTATGAAGTCTTATTTCTTGATTTCATCTGACTCAGACTGGCAAGAGCCTCAGACTCAATCCAGGCAAAATGGAGTGTCTAATTATTTCAGGATAATAATAATTTTGAGTCTCTGTGCTTGCTTGGAAACAGCAGACCCACAAGTTGGGATTCAAGTAGAGCAGATGAGAGTTGTGGCCAGGAGACTTTTGGCCTAACACTGGCCAGAGTGCCAGTTGTAACTTTACTAGACACAGGATGCACTGGGAACAGTCACTTTTGCTCTTGTCCTCTAGCAATTGAATTACTGTATTGTAATTTGCTCCATGTGGGATTCCCTTTGAAGACCATCTGGAAACTTCAACTGATCCAAAACGCAGCAGGCCATATCCTTACTGGATAGCTAGGTATTGCCAGGTTACACCACTGCTGAGGGACCTGCATAGCTCCTGGTGTTTCCAAGTGCAATTCAAGGTGTTGGTTGTTACCTATAAAGCCTTAAATCACTCAGGTCCTGGAATCTAAGAGTCTGCTTTTCCAAGATAAATTTTGTCCACCCAACCCAGGGAGCTGGGTGATCAGGGAGTGTCTGCTAAAGATCCCTCCCATCATGAGGTGCAATAAGAGGGATCTCAATTGCAGGCACTCTATGTGTAAGGTCCCTCCCAGGGAACACCTTGATCCTTGAGGTACGTATGGCTCCCACTCTTATAGTCATCTGAAATATAGTAAAAACATCACTTTTTCAGAAGATCCTCAGAAATAGTTTCTGTAAAGACATCAGCATTAATACTGCTTTGTATTATAATGTTGCTATTGTATTTTGTATTTTAGACACTAAGTAGAATCCTTGTAATGAAACAAGCAAAATATTTATAGAGTTTGCTCCATGGACATTCATGAACTCACAGATTATAATTTGATGTTACAGGCATCAAATTATATACAATTGGGTAAATCAGGTTTGTTAGCCTATTTTGGTATCTGTTGAGTTGCCTCAAATCAAATAGGATTGTTTATTTGCCTGAATGGTGAAATAAACACACCCAGGGCACATGGAAATAAAGGCACATTCCTTAAAAGCAGACATCTGTAAAAGTTTAATCTTCATTCATATCTTGCTAAAAATTCAAACACGCAGCTTGCTTGCATTTTACATAGTGGTAATTTGTTATACACCCACAGCTGTCTCTGTTTAAATGATCTATATTTAACCTACATTGTTGGGAATTTGTGCACAGCATATCAATCAATTTAGACCTCTTGTGGTTTTTTTTTTTAAGGTTTTTTAAAATTATATTTAAGCTGTGCCAGGTAAATAAAATCGATTCAGATGTTCCCAACAGCCTGTACCAAACAAACACTGGGGGCAAATTTACAGAGTATAATGAAGCTCTAGCATCAAAAGAAAATGGGAGTGACTTGATTTTGAGAAGAAAACTACCGTATTTTCACCCATATAACCCGCGGGTTATATGCGGTTTTTACATGCACAGC